ATTTTCCGGGGAGGCTCAGCCACAGCTTTTATCACGTTTTTAAAGGAAATGGTGTGCCAAGAAGGTTACGAACCACTGCTCCAGTCGCAGCCACCTGTGCAAAGGTACCCGAACGCTTTCGCCCCGCTGTGCGTTTGCTCTGAACGACTCCTGTCTGCCTTGCCTTGTAAACCCCACTCAATCTCAAGGCCCCGGCTCACGGCCTCTTCCTCTCCGGAGCCTTCCCCCGCATCTCCCCCGATGAACCGCCTCCTCATCCGCTTCCCCGAAGCACGGCTATTGACGCACTCCGTACACCGTATTTAGCACTTATTTGTTAGCTCCCTTCCACAACTGGACTTTCAACTCTTTGCTGACAAAGACTAGAGTCCTGAAGAAGGAAATGATTTCATTTTAAAACACAAGTCCTCACATTCGCTATTCTTTGGCCACCAAACGGCAAAGCTGCGAAGCAAGGCTACTTCCCTTTTGACTTCTGCCCCTCTCAGCACCCGTCCCTCCGCACGGACGCCGCCAGGGCGGGGCGGACCCCAAACTTCCAGCGCCGGACAACGCGCGCCCCCAATCGCTGACAACTGGAACTACAAGGGCTGCCAGAGGCCTCCTGCGCGTGCGCACAGAGAACCAGGGCAGGCCAACTGACGGGTGAGTTGGAGGGGGCGGGGTGAGAGGGCCGACAAAGGATAGAATGGACTGCATGAAAAAGGACTGAGGGGAATTTAGACCTCACCCGACCTGGGCAACCCTATGGCCCACTTGAACTTACTCCGTTCAGCCCCCAAAATACAGGGCCAGAGACTGCGTCCTTGAGCTCTTTCCGTCTCCCGATCCTTATGGTCCTGGTCGTCTCTGCGTCATAAGAGGAGCGACACCGTTCTCCGCTTCGCGTCGCAGAAGACGGGCCCAGGGGCGGTGCGCCGTCTCTTACGTCACAGGCGTGGGCTGGCTCGGGGGGCGGGGCATCGCAGAACGCGCCCGCCCAAGGAGGCTCGCAGCTAGGGAAGAATTTGATTGGCGGTTTGAGAACGGCCGTTCTGACGGGGGCTCTGGTGGGCGGGCTAAGTATGGGGTCCTGGTCTGGTGCGGTCCCGGGCTAATGACGTCACAGCCTTTCGCGGGAGAAATTCGAAAGTGGATTTCGTGCAATGGACGGTGAAGTGAACTGATTCCCGGGGTTTCCGGGGCGTGAGGGTGGGTAGGCGCCGGGATTTGAGCGACAGGCGGCGAAGCTGATTTGGGGCGAGGGGACCAGAGACTCTGCTCGGCCGGAAGCGGACCGGAGGGTGCTGTGTGGAGCCAGGATTGGGTGGTGACAGTCGCGGCTTGGTCGGACTCCCTGTCATAGCTGGTGCCGCGTCCTCACCGCTCTTCCCAGCCCCTGCTCTGCCGTTCCCGCGTACGGGTGAGGACCAGAGAGGGTTTTGCTCCTTGTTTTCAGGACTGACAAAGGGTCAAGTCTTCACTGTCATTTGGTCACACAGGATCCTGGTAGTTAGAATCTTGGCAGATGAAGTGTGGGCTTCTTCTTTGGTTATTTGGACTGAATGGTTTTCTAACACGGTGTTGGGTCCGTGACTCTGCAGCTTTTAAATCTGTGAACCATTTTGGGATTCGAGAGATCCTGCTTGTTCCATAACAAAAGGACCAAAAACATCTCGTCATACGTAACAGGAAGAATGGCTCCTATTTTAGTGAAAGCACCGAATTTTATACATAAATGTATAAAGCAGCATAATAATGTATGTGTATATATGTGAGTGTAGGCATTTATGTATGTCTGTACTTATATCATTGTCACAGAGCATCTGAGGTCTCCACACCACTTTAAAAATAAAAACTTCTTTGGGCACTAAACTCACCCTGCAGAGATGGGTCAGTACTTGAATTGTTTGACAGATGTGGACAGATGAAGACTTTCAGAAAATGTTTTATCCTTGTACCTCACTTAAATATATGATGCTGTTGGCTAAAACCATTTTTCCTGTTTACTTGTAAGAAAGGAGTGTTGACTTTCCTTTGAAAGTGGAAATTAGGGCTCTTCTAAATCCAGCTAACCTTTTTTTTTTTTTGAGGTTTAATCCTATAATCTAATTTACCATTTATGAGAGTTTGGACCTTCTCAGTTCCTTTTAAGTAAATCCCACAAGTAATATCTCTAATTTAGGAAAACAATGGGGAATTTATTTTGCAATTCCTAAATAGCATATAAGTAATTCTAAACTAATAAATACTGGATTCCTAATCTAAATTGTGGTGATAATATCTACTCTTCAGGATTATGAGACTGATGAATATTATATGTAAAGTATCTAGTCCCAATTCCTGCCTGACATAGTAGGTACTCAATAAATTGTCATATAATGTACTGTTTGTGAGTATGAGCATCAGAGTTTAGGCTGCTTAGTTTTGAATTCTGAATCTTCCATTTGTTTACTTTATGATCTTGGGCAACTTACTTACCTATTATGTGCCTTAGTTTTCTTCTTTGTAAAATGAATATGAAAAATAGTATCTATACCATAAGGTTGTGAGCGTTTGCAGCATTTTAACACTGTCTACCATATAATTGCACAGAATAAATGATAGCTATTGTTAAAGGGATCTAAGATTAATAACTGCCACATGCCCAGCACTGTGTCTACACCATGTAGTCTCATCTACATACGTAGGATGTCCAACCCGTTCAGTGGCTGGGAGCAAGTTGCTCTGCAGCAGTGAATGGTGTGTTTCTCTGGACCTCTCTCTTATCTTCTTGCCATTCATTAGGCGTCTGACAATTTCTGTGGGCTGGAGGGGAGGGATATAGGATATGGGAGTTATATTTCTGAAAGGCAGTGCCTCTGTAGGTCTGGGTCCTGTCCTGTGAACTATGTTGTGGGGCATTAATTCATATCTCATTTGCCTACTTCTTACCCCATCCTTTCTCCACACAGCAGCTGGAGCAATCTTTGTAAAACCCCAAGTCAGATAATGTAATCTCATGCTTAACATCTTGCCGTGGCTTCCTACTGTCTTTGTAGAAAGTCCAGACAACTCAGCCTAACATAGAAGGCCCTCTGAATCCTGTTATTGCTCACTTTTTCAGTCTCATGTCTCACTACGTTACACTCAACCGCTTAGCCGTACTAGTGAGAGTTTCTTGATCACGCCTTGCTCTGTCTTCCACAGGCCTTTGTACATATTGACTCATATTTGGAAATAATTCCCTGGCATCTTCCCTTGGTTAATGGTTATTTCAGTGTCCAGCTCAAACATTACATCCTTCAGGAATGCCCTAGACCGAGTTGGGTGCCCCTCTTGTGCTTATTCCTGTCATATTTTATTGTAATTACTGTTTATCACCCTGCTATACTGAAAATTCCTTGAGATTAGGGATAATATTTCATTCATTTTAGTATGTCAGCCTAGCACAATGTCTGGCACATAGTAAGTACTAAATAAATATTTGTAATTTATATATAATATGTAGGTAGCCTATTTTATATATTTTATATGTATCAAGGAGAAATTGAATCCAGAACTGCAAATTATAGCTTTATTGAATCCCCCAGGTCTTTTAGGGCCATCTTCTCAAACTCGAGCGTGTATCCCTGTCACCTACAAGGCTTGTTAAAACAGACTACTAGCCCTGATTTAATAGGTCAGGGGTGGGACCCAAGAATTTGAATTTCTAACTAGTTCCCAGGTGATGCTGGTGCTGTTGGTGCAGGGATCATACCTTTGGAACCACTTCTTTAGGGATAAAGTAATAATTTCCTTTGGTATGTCTGTTTACTTCTTCAAGTCACCGTCAGTGATTTTAGATTTCCAAAATTGCCCACAATAACAATTTTTTTTTTTTTTTTGTGAGGAAGATCAGCCCTGAGCTAACATCCATGCTAATCCTCCTCTTTTTGCTGAGGAAGACCAGCTCTGAGTTAACATCTATTGCCAATCCTCCTCCTTTTTTTTTTTATTCCCCAAAGCCCCAGTAGGTAGTTGTATGTCATAGTTGCACATCCTTCTAGTTGCTGTATGTGGGATGCGGCCTCAGCATGGCCGGAGGAGCAGGGCGTTGGTGCCCGCCCGGGATCCAAACCTGGGCTGCCAGTAGCAGAGCACACTCTTAACCGCTAAGCCACGGTGGCGGCCCCCACAATAACAATTTTATCCAATGGCATAGGATAACTACAGTACTCATGGCAACGATGTTGAAGAGATTTTTCCTTGTGGAAGTATTATAATGTATATTTGGTCCTAGATCCTGTGGTATATTGACTCTAAGATGTAAAAGGAAAAATTTAAAACGCAAGGGGGCCATCTTGTGGTGGCCATAGCAATTCAAAAAACTTTAAAAATTGAAGCTCTTTCTATAAGGAACCAAACACGGAGGGGAGGGGGAATCATATTTTCTGATATATATTATGGCACTTGGAAAAATGCTTGCAGAGTGCTAATTATTTTGTATATTTCACTTGGTTTTCTCTACCTAGCAAATTCTTTTTCCACAGTGTGGTGTCACTCTTTTCATATGTCCTCGGGGGCAGATAATTTCATTATACCTCTGTTTCCCTTGGTAGTTACATGGAACTTGGAACTCTTAGATTCCTCTCTCTGGTCAAGAGTTTGTTGGGGGGGGCTGGCCCTGTGTCCTAGTGGTTAAGTTCAGTGCCACTCTCTTCAGTGGCCCGGGTTTGGTTCCTGGGTGCGGACCTATACCGCTTGTCAGCGGCCATTCTGTGGCAGCTACCCACATACAAAATAGAGGAGGACTGGCATAGATGTTAGTTCAGGGTGCATCTTCCTCACGTGAAAAGAGGAAGATTGGCAATAGATGTTAGCTTAGGGCGACTCTTCCTTACGGAAAAAAAAAAAGTTTGTGGGGAAAAATTGTATTTGATATTTATTCTTTTCATAGGGGTTGAATAGTCCTTGTCATTTTTCATTTTAGGGAGCATAAATAGTTGAATAACTACTGATTATTTTCTGGACCTGACTGGTTTATAAGTTCAGAAGAAACAATGGAGAGCCGAGAATTTATTGTAAGTCTTTCCAGTTTTTGCTTATTTCCTCTTTTCTTCCTTCCTTCCTTCTTTCCGCATTTCATAAATGTCTTGCTAGGGTTGCCAGATTTAGCCAAAAACAAAACAGAACAAAACAAAATAAAAAAAACACCTGAAACCTAAAAGTAGGACACTCAGTTAAATTTGAGTTTCAGATAAACAGTGAATAATTTTTAGTTTAAGTATATCTGTCTCAAACATTGCCCTGTATTTTATCTGGCAACCGTATCTCTTGCCTACTATTCGCGTTTGTTATACAAAGTCTTTTGGCACAAATTCTTTGGAAGCTTGGGATCAGGAAATAATTTCTTTCTCTTGAAAAACTGGCATGCCTCTTCTCTCTAGATCAGTAGTTGTTAAACTGTTTGGTCTCAGGACCCTCTTATACTCTTAAAAATTGTTGCAGAACCCAAAGAATTTTTTATTATGAGGCTTATATCTATTGATGCCTTTCATATGAAAAATTATAACAGAAATTTAAAAAAGATTTATTCATTAAAAAGTAATAAGTCCTTTATATTTAACATAAATTACATTTTTTAATGAAAATAGCTATATTTTCCAAAACAATAACAGCAGAAAAAAACAGATTGAAAAGACTAGCATTGCTGTAGGTTTTTTGCAAATCCCTTTAACATTTGACTTAATAGAAGACAGCTAATTCTCAGATATGCTTCTGCCTTCAGTCTGAAATTGAATCTTGCAGTATTGCACATACATAATCCTGGGAGACCCCACTATGCATGCCTGAAGGAATGAGCCTGAAAAGGCGAATAACATCATGAAAATAGTTTTGACCTCATAGACCCCTGACAAAATGCTGGGGACCTCCAGGAGTCTCTGGACTACACTGTGAGAACTGCACAGAACACACATTTTTCCCTTCCCACCAATGACCAGGAAGCTCAAAATTATTTCTGTTGCTCAGTTAACTTTTCAGCTTCCTCCTTAGATTTTACCTCTCCTTCTCCCCTCCCTTGCCTTGTACTACCTAGTTTCTTTTTTTTTTAATTGACGTTTGGTTGTGATTATTATGATATCTGTGCTTTTATTTCAATAAAAGATGTCTTAAATATTTTTTATGTGTAGGAAGAGTATAAAACTATATAACAATACATATAAATAGAAATCATTTCTTTACTTTTGTACTTTTGGAAATAAGGTACTATATACTCATCAAAAGATGAAGAAATCAAAGGTGTGGCAAGATGGAATTCTGAAGATCACTCACTTAGGAAACAAAGTAAGTCCAAGGGCTCGGTTCTTGCCTTTTGATTGAATATTATGAAAACTCTGTAGATGATAAAATGTTAGATATGCCCATAAGCTGACATGATGTGAAAACAGAAACTGTTAAATGATTTCCACATCACAGTCATTAATTTGCACATTATAAAGGTTCATTAAATATTATTTAATTTGTTTTGATTTTTTTTATTTGAATTAGATTTTCTATGAAACCTTTTAGGCACTTTGGCACATTTTTTCTTTGCATGCAATAAGAGCTTAACGATACAGAAAATACTACCTATTAAAATATATTTCTAACACAATAATGCTCACAGTGAAATGGTACATATGGAGTTGACATACCATTTTAGAAAAGCTGCCAATTTCTGAAATTATGTATAGAATTCTCGTCTCTTTTAAGATTTTCTTTGAATCTGTTACTTTGGTTGTGACATGGTCCTATAAGTCTTTAAAGAATTATTTACTAGGGTGATGTTTCCCTCTATTGGATGTGGTGATCTTCTCCAGCTGCCAGATTTTAACGTTCTCCTTCGATCACTTCTCGTGACCTTGTTCAGCACTCCTGCCTCCTTCTTCACAGCTCCTCTTCTTCATTTGGCTTCTGTGACACCACACTTTCCTGATGTTGCTTACTGATCACTTCTAAGTATTTTCTGTGGGCTCATTCTCTTCCCAAACTTTAAATTTTTACTCAGGACTCAGTCCTACGTGCTCTTCACTTATTAGATGTGTAATCTTGGCAAGTTATTTAGCTTCTCAAGGCCTCTAGTCTCTTCTTTGTAAAATGGGGGAAATGATACTTCATAAGGTTGTCCTGAGGATTAACGGAGAAAACAGGTAAAGCTCTTAACAAGGTACCTGGCACGTTGTAAGCATCGAGTGAATGGTAACTGTAATTGTAGTTTTTCTCTTCAAGGGACTTTTATCTAAGAGCCTAAGGATTATAATATGTACAGAGTTATGCTTAGGGATCTATGAGATTACAAAAGAGAGACATCAAAATCTGACTCGGGCTCAGAGAAGTCTTTCCAGATTAAGAATATTTTTTTGAGTATTTGTTTGTTTGGTTTTGTAAACAAAATTGATAGGTTGGAGGGAGGGGAGCTGAAGATGGTGTCATAGCTATAACAACATGGAGGTGTGACACAGTATGAAACATTTGGGGAACTATAAGCAATTAAATATGGCTGGAATGGAAAGGAATATTAGAGAGAAATTATAAAAATATTATAGAATCTTACAGTCTTGGATATGGAAGATGAGGAGAATCCAGGATGACTGTCAGGTTTTAGTATTATAATTATGGTACTGAGTTAGGATATCTCAAAAAGAAAGGTAAGTTTAGGGAGGAAAATGAAGATTTTGAGTTCCATGTTGAACATACTGCATTTTCAGTGTCATAGAAACACTCAAGTAATTGGCTGTAGGGACCTGAGAAAGAGTTCTGGGCTACTGATACAGATTGGGAGTATTTGGCATTTAGATGATATATTGAAGCTCCTGGAGTGGATTCATTCATTCATGTTTTCAATGAATATTTTTGAGCACCTGTATGAGTTACACACTGTTCTAGGGGATGCAGCAGGGAACAAAACAGATAAATCCCTGACTTTGTGGAAATAACAAGGAGGAGACAGACCAGTAAATGAATATGTATGTCTAGTGAGTTAGGCAAATGACAAGGAGAGAGTGAGCAAGGGTGAGAATGGAGATAAAGGGGGTTATGTAGGCCTTATTGGTCATTGTAAGGACTGTTGTTCTTATTCTTTGGGAGCTGTGGAGACATTGGAAGGATTTGAGCAAAAGCATGACATGACCTGATTTGTATGGATGATATTGCTCAGGGATGGCGTGTAGAATGTAAAGAATAGAGGGAAAAAGATGGAGCCCTTGGAAACACCAATTTTTTTTTAACAGCTTTATTGAGATACAATTTACACACTTTTCAATTCACCCATTTAAAGTGTACAATTCAGTAGTTCTTAGTATACGCAGAGTTTTGCAACCATCACCACAATCTAATTTTAAAACATTTTTGTCACCCTCAAAAGAAATCCCATACCTATTAGCAGTCGCTACTCAGTACCCAACTCCCAGCACTAAGCAACTACTAATCTACTTACTTTCTCAATAGATTTGCCTATTCAGCACCTTTTACATGAATGGAATTACACAATATGTGGTCTTTCGTAACTGACTTCTTTCATTTAGCATGTTTTCAAGGTTCATCCATGTTGAAGCATGTGTCAATACTTTATTCCTTTTCATTGCTGAATAATATTCTGTTGTATGGGTATATCCCATTTTATTTATCCATTCATTAATTGATGTACATTTGAGTTGTTTCCACTTTTGGCTATTATAAATAATGCTGCTATGAACATTTGTGTGCAAGTTTTTGTGAAGACATATGTTTTCATTTCTCTTTATATATACCTAGGAGTGGAATTGCTGCATCATGGGGTAACTCTGTGTTTAAATCTTTTAAGGAACTGCCAAACTGTTTTCCAAAGTAATGGGAACAGCAATATTTAAGGGGCTAGTGGAGAAACTGCTGTGAAAAATGGCCAGAGAGACACAAGGAGAAAGCCAGAAAGTGATAATCACTGTAGCTTCCTTTTTCTCCCTTATCCCTCACATCAACAAGTTTTATTTGTTATACCTCATAAACAGTTGTCTTATCCCAATGCTGATGACTTATTGCAGGCACTAATCATCTTCCGATCCTCCAATATCACACCATTGCAATAATCTCTTTATGGATCTTGTCTCCTGTTTTGCCCCCTCTAACGCATTCCAATTCTCTTTTTTTCCCAGTTCCATTCCAAAATCCTGGTAGAGATTAAGTTCTTGAATTTCTTATGTATATGCCTTTGCTCTCTTGCATGCACTGAATAGATCCTTAGTAAACATTTGAAATGGATGCACTTTCTAATCCAAGTTAACAAAGTGGATAATTCTTTCATTATGTGATTTCCTTATGTAACAATTTTAGATTTGCTAATCAAGATGTTTAAGAAAAGCAGAATTATGCTCTGTTCCTTTTTAACATTTATTTTGTTTTAATATAGGCGATTTTATATGATGACAAAGGAGACTGTTTGGATAGTATATTTCTTAAGTGCCTTGAGGTATTTTAATGTTTTTATCTTATTTTTAAGTTATTCTTGAAAAAAATCTCTTTACTTCCTTTATGAATATTCTTAAATAGTGTAGTCATGGTACTAATAGTGATAATTATAGCTAATATTTCTTGAACGTTTATTATTAGCCAGACTCTGTGCTAAAAGCTTTTACATATCGTTTCGTGTAATCTGTACACAGCCCTGTGATTTTTATATGTTAGGAGTGCAGTACAGAAAGGTTAAGTACCTTGCCAGTTTCACAGAATTACAGAAGTAGGGCTGGATTTGAACCCAGGAAGTGACTCTGTTGTCTAACTCTATTACATGGTTTTGATAGAGAACTGCAGTGGGAAGTATTTTGTGAAATTATTCCTATTTGAAATATTTTCTCAAGTATGTATTCTGTGTTTTTCCCCTGTTGGAAAAAAAGAAGGAAAAGGAACTAAAGGCTTATTTTAGTGTAAAGAATAAGGATATTAGAGTTGGTCATTCTGGGTTCATTTCCCACTTTCAAATACTTCCTAGTTAATCTAACCTCTCTGTCTAACTTCTCTACTGTAAAATATAGGCCATAGCTAGACTTCATTGGGTTGGTCTGAAAATTAGAAATAATTTATGTAAAGTGCTTAGCAGTTTAGTACAGTGATTCTAAAAGTGTTAAAATGCATATTTTCATTATGTTGATTTTGGCCATGGTATTTAATCTTTTAAGATTTTGTACGACATTACTAGTGGTGGTAGTATTCTTATATCTGTCAAAAGAGGGTCTGGGAGAAGCGCTGTCTTAGTAGATGCTTAATTAGGGGTAACTACTGTTGTTATTATTTCATTTTAAATCATTTCATTAGTAAAGACTAAGCACACTTATCAACTAGGTTGATAATCTTATTTTTATACTGCAGTCAGAGATGGTGGCAAGTGCTATATTTTATTAAGGTGATTAAAAAGGCTTCTTTGGAATATGATTGTTTAAGCAACTGTAATAATTTATAATAATATTTAATTTGTCATAATTATCGATATGTATCTAATTCATGTTAATTTATTGAGATATATAATTGAGATTTAATAGCTCTAATTAAAAAAATTAGATTTAGTTGTATGGATTCCAAGTGAACTCCTTGAGACGAGGCATATTTTTCTTACTTGAGATGAGGCATATTTTTCTTACTTGTCTTTGTATTCCCAGCGTGTAAGAGAGGGCCTCATATAGGTCTCCAGTGTGTATTGTTAAGTAAACAATAGTTAGTGACGTTTCTTTTTGTTGTGGTTTTTTTTTTTTTTTTTTTTTTGGTGAGGAAGATCAGCTCTGAGCTAACATCCATGCCAATCCTACTCTTTTTGGTGAGGAAGACTGGCCCTGGGCTAACATCTGTGCCTGTCTTCCTCCACTTTGTATGGGAGGCCACGGCATGGCTTGACAAGCGGTGTGTCGGTTCACTCCCAGGATCCAAACCCTGGATCTGAACCTGGGTGGCCAGTATCGGAGTGCTCGCACTTAACCGCTATGCCAGGGCCCCCCCCCTTTTTTTTTTGTGAGGAAGATCAGTCCTGAGATCGGTCCTGAGCTAACATCTGCCAATCCTCTTTTTGCTGAGGAAGACTGGCCCTGGGCTAATATCCATGCCCGTCTTCCTCCACTTTATATGGGACGCTGCCACACCATGGCCTGACAAGCGGTGCGTCAGTGCGCCCCTGGGATCCGAACCGGCGAACCCCGGGCTCTGCAGCGGAACGCGTGCACTTAACCGCTTGTGCCACCAGGGGCCGGCCCTTTTTGTTGTGTTATTATCCTTTTTGTGCTTGTTGATAGTTACCTAGTGCATAATAATAAACAAAGAATTTAGTTATTGATTCATTCATTCAACAACTATTGAATATCCATTGTGTCTTGCTAGTGCTGGTGAGCTTACTGGAATACCCAGATAATCAAATAATTAGATGTATATGATTTTGACATTTATTCCCTAAAATTTAGGTGAAACCTGGAGATGACTTAGAAAGCGATCGATACTTAATCACAGTTGAGGAGGTTAAAGTTCCTGGAAGCATAGCTGTTAAACAGGATGTCACTAACACAGCAGCAGAGTTTAATTCAAGGAGGTTTATATCCTCTGGCCGGCCTCTTGGATGTCAGCCTGCTGGTTTGAAAAGGAAGTTTACTGTAAGTTTCTCTGTTGAAAATAATAAATCAATATATATTTATAAAATCATTTCAAGAAGTAGTGAATTTTGAAGCTGTTGTACTCTGTCATTAAAATGGTACTTCATAGTATGTGCTTAGGTAGAAAGTACGTAAACCCTAATTAGAAAAATCTTAATACAAATGAGTGTTTGCATTTTAACTTAGCAAACTTTATATCTTAATTATTACTTTAGCTTGCAAAACAAACACACTCTTTTTGTCTTTTCCTTTTTTTTAGCTAGTTTATTTCACATTTTCTTTATAGGTAATGGAACGGCTAATAATTATTTTAATATTTTTAGGGTTTTCAAGGACCACGTCAAGTGCCAAAGAAAATGGTGATTATGGAGAAGGGTGAATCAGCTGCATCACCTGAGGCTAAGAAACCCGGCCCTGTTTTTCTTTCTCCATTCTGCAGCACAACTTCTTTGTTTTCTACTGTTGGCAAGAAAGATATAAATAATATGCCAGCAGACCCTGAGAACACTGACACTTATAAGAGCAGAGAGAGAAATGGCATACCGTTTTCTTCAGTTGTCTCTATTCCATCCTTCAAGATTAACCCAGAAATGCTATGTGAAGAAAATTGTTTTTGCTTTCCTAGCAGTTCTGTAAATAAGCAATCAGATTCCTTACTGACCAATGAGGCCAGGAAAAGAGATGGTTTGGCATCTCACTGTTTAGGGGTTTCACAAAACATCAGAAGCAAAGCGCAGATATTAGCTCTTCTGAAGTCCAAATCAACCAGTATTTGTAAGGAACTAGATTCTGAGATTGCAGAACATTTCCCTCAGATACAACCACAAGGAACTATAAACGTTCCTAATAAACCACAGTACTTAATTGAAGGGGAAGAGTGTGCTGAGGTGAAGAGCACAGAAAGGTTACACTTCCAGCATCAATCGGAAAATACCGTGAGAAATAAAAGCCGGTGGGCCATGTATGTATCCTCACAGAGTTTGCCTATACATTCTTCTACTGAAGATGGACACGATATAGAAAGAAAACCCAAGTCCCAGGAGGAGAATATAAATTTAAATTTGAAAGACCTTTTGGTGCAAAAAAGGGTACAATTCTTTGAAACATGTGCTGAAAAGGGGAGAAAATATAATGAAAACAAGCCAGTAGATAATAATGATCAATCCTGGGATCAGGAAGTAAAATTAGAAATGCCTTCATTCTGTGAAAGCAACAACTTACCAGTTACCTGTAGCAATGTAGAAAATGATGGCTTATTATCAGAATCAGACATTCAGGAAAATAATAAAATACCTGTTCATCAGAATGACCAGATGTATGTAAAAGGATCAATTCGCGTTAGAGAAAATGCTCAGGAGGTGAATATGTGTGGAACACTGGAAAAGGAATGTGAACGCCTGGTGTTGTGTCTGCCAGAATCTGACCATCTGCACGTGGCCTCTCCTCTAAGTAGCAGTGCTAGGATCTCTGATGACGTTACCCACACGTTTGCTAAAAGTAATAATGATGATGACAGTCTTAATAATATTCGTGAACCTATGAGTAATGTGACAGAACCTCTTGTGGAGGTCACTTTTGATCTGAACAATTTTGAAACCAGTGACACTGAGGAGGAATCACGGGAAAGCAATAAAATTTCCCGGGATTCAGAGGGTTGGGTAAAGGAAACTTCCGTTAATGATGGCAACGTAGGTGTTCAAAAGAGGTGTGAGGATACAGGCTGTAAAGAAGTTGGCAGTGAACGTTTGCCTCTCTCAGCGTCTACTGCGAGTACACCTACAGAGACATTTCCTATTAAAGAGACTCTGCTATCACAGTTTTGTGATAAAACTTGTGTAGGTTTTGACACAGGACCTTGGAAAGCTGGAAACACTGGAAGAGAAATAGAGGAGTATAGTGACACGTTAAGCAATTTTGACTCATCTTTAGAGTGGGCTGATGATGTATACGTAGACAATGATGAAGATGCTAATAAATCTACTGAAAAAATCAGAATTAACTATGATTTTGCTTCACTCCCGAATAAATCTAAAGGTATGAATACTAATTTACACATCCCTCCTTTTTTAAACATAGCCACTAATCAGACTCCTGAAAATAACCTATTTTCGGAACACGCTCAGCCTCAGCCTTTCGTTGTGGGAAGTGACTTAGACAAAAATGATGAACAGGTTTTACCATCAACCTCCAGCAGTGATATCAGTATCCAACTATTAAGTGCCAGTCAGAATCACTCTGAAGAATGTATTGCACTCGATAAACCAAATTCTCAAGTTTCCGATTCTTTGTTTTTCCCTCTGGGAAAAAAGCGTTCTATTTCCAAAGACACAGAAGCACGTATTCCTGAATCTGAAGATTTGGAAAGGATTGGAAGTTTATCCCATGACCATACTGAAGTAGAAACTACTGGAGAAAGCAAACAATACTGGAATAGTCCTAGAAATTCTTCAGAACTTTCTGGACTAGTAAATAACATTTCCCTTTTAAAATCCTTGTCTGAACACAGTACAGCTTTAGAAGGCTTGGAAATACTGAAGAAGAAAAATACTACCTTTCAACAACAAGAAGCCCTGCAGACGTATGAGCCAGATAGCAATCGTGAAGGTTAGAACCACGTGTTTGTTTTGGATTGTTCTCTGTATAGCTCCAAGGATAAGAAGATATTTGCTTTGGAGGCTACATTAAAGAATCACATAGTATTTGAATAGGTAATACATGTACTTGGTAAATCAATTCTAACAGAGGATAATATCCTTCCTACTACAGTCCCTCAGTCCTCTCCTCAGAATTAGCTGCAGTTTCCTTCCAGGGTATCCAGGAAATATCCTATGCATATATAACCGTATATAGGTACCTATAAGCAAATGTGTGTATGTGTGTGTGCGTGTGTGTTATAATCCATTCTTATCATACATTTTTGGTTATGTGCTAGGAGATAGCTTTTTTTTTTAAAAAAAATCTTGAGTTCATATTGATATCTCTAATTCCAGTTCTAAGCCTCAGGGTTCTTCCTCTCTTTTCTCCATTCCATAAATGTGCTTCTTTACTCCCACAGTGAGAGAGGGCCCTGGGTCCCAACAACGTCAGCATATTTACTTTCTCGGTTCTACAATACACACCAAACGATTTCCAAATTGTTACAGTAATATCACCACTAGCAAAAAACTTCTACAGAGTTGTAAAGTTCACAAATCTTTGCAGTTTTTTTTTTGGTTTGTTTTTAGAATGTGTCCTACTGAGAGTATATAGTTGGAGTATTATGTTCAAAAGTTACTTGGGTTACGTTTTTTTCTTTAGAGTGATTATGTTATCATTTGATTTAAGTATAGTTAAGTTCATTGTTTTTATTCAGTATGAGGGCTTTTTTGCCCATCCTTGTTGATTTATTTTTGTTTCTGACTGTGTAAAATATTAACCTAGTTCAAAAGTTAAAGCTATATAAAAACACATACTCAAATGCCTCAAATTCCTTCCATCCCATTCCTACCTACCTGCTGTAGGTAACCAATATACCACACCTGTGTTTTTTTTGTAAAAATAAATATCTCTGTATATAAATTCTTGTTTCCTCTTATTCAACAAAAGAGACCATACTCTGTATATTTTTTAACACCTTGCCTCTTTTCTCTTAATAATATATCCTGGAAATCACTTCATAGGACACATCCTCATTTTCTTTGTTTACAGCTGTGTAATATTCCACTGTGTAGATAAACCATCATTTATGCAACCCATCTCCAATATTTTGCTATTACAAATAATGGGACAGTAAGTAACCGTATATATCTATATGTATATCTGTATAAATATATGGGCTTTTGCATATTGTTGGAGGTGTGTCTTCAAGGCAAATTCCTAGCAGTAGGGTTACTGGGTAAATGTGTAGCTTTATTAGATACTTCAAAATTCCCTCCATTTCTCACTCCCACCAGTAATGTAGGAGAATGCCTGTTTCTCCACAGCCTTGCCAATAGATATGTTGCCAAGCTTGAATTTTTGCCAATCTAATAGATTAGAAATGGCATTTCAGTGTATTTTAAATTTGTATTTCTATTACTACAAGTGAAATTGAGCATCTTTTTATATGTTTGAGTCATTTATATATCTTTTCTCATGAACTGTCTGTTCTACCCTTTTGTCCAGTTTTTTAATGGCTGTTGGTCTTTTTATTCTCCTTGATTTGTAAATTCTTTATGTATTAGAGATATTAACCCTTTATCTATGATATATGTTGCAAGTATTTTCTTTCACTGTCATTGGTCTTTTGACTTTGCTTATGGTATGTTGCCAATAGCATTTTTTAAAGAAAAACAATATTATAGAACACATTAGTAAATATAGTAAATATTATATACGTATGAATGTGAATGAACAATGTACTTTATGATACTCTCAAAGAAAAGTTAAAATTGAGCTTTTATTTGAATATCTCAAGGGATTCCTGAGAAAAATAAGAATAAATTATTGTACCTACTGAAATGTTTCTTTAAATGTAGTTAAATTTTATGGCAATTGTTACAGTTTATTTTCTAAAAAATTAAAAATAAGGAAAAAACTTTAGTGAAAAATAAATATGGGTAGATATATAATGTCATATAAGGATATAGTTTCATAATATGAAGATTTAGGAATTACAGAATTTAGTTTTGGAAAATCTGTTTTTTCTCATCGAGTTGAAAAAGAGGATTACAGTTGATTCTCATTATTTGCAGTAGTTATGTTCTATAGAGTCACTGCAAACACTGAATTAGTGAACAATGAGCCATTGCTTTTAGGGGAAATATAGGGTGAAGTTCCTTCAGATATCTGGTCAGAGCATTTTTATCAACCGATCAATACAAAACCTTGTTTTATGTGTATTTCTATTTAAAGACATCTTATTTAATATTTTTTGTTGATTCATTGGCATTGAATTCATGGCCAATAGCACTGTACTTCGTGCCTGAAAGAAACTCATCTAACACACATAGTTTCTCCCTGAGGGACCTCACAGCCTTCTTGCATGTAGGAACACTAGACACCACTATGCTTAGGGAGCATTTTAAATAGCAAAATCACCAACAAAAAGCCCCAAAACACAAAAAATTTACTAAATAGACCATGAAAAGGACACTTGTTTATAGTATGAGAGCTCAGGAAATCAGAGTGTCACCTTGTTCTCCCTCAGCTGGGCATGTGTGTGTCAGGCAACTCATCTATTTGTAGCTCTTCATGTCTGCAAATAACCTCAAAAACAGGATATTGATTTGAGAGTTCCAAATAAATTTTAGTGAGTAGGCAGAATCTGTGAGTAATGTGGATTGACTATTTGTTTTCTGATAGAAATATATTTCTCTAAAAAGGAGTAAGTTGGTTTTCTTGAGACAATGTGAGAAAATTGAATCTATTTATTGGAGTATAACAAATGACCATGGAGTTGAATACAGAATTAGAGGGGCTGGCCAGGTGGTGTAGTGGTTAAGTGTGCGCGCTCTGCTTTAGCAGCCTTGGTTTCTCAGGTTTGGATCCTGGGCGCACACCATCGCACCACTTGTCAAGCCATGCTGTGGTGGCATCCCTTATAAAGTAGAGGAAGACGGGCATGGATGTTAGCCCAGGGCCAATCTTCCTCAGCAAAAAGAGGAGGATTGGCAGCAGGTGTTAGCTCAGGGCTAATCTTCCTCACACACAAAAAAATGGAATTAGAGAAGAATCAGTTTTCCAACCAATTTAGGATGTGTCAAAGTGTTAAAAAACATTTTGTCCAGTATGTTGAAGTTTTTGTGAGATGATTGACTATATCTTAGAAATGTTAATTTACAATTTTTTTTCTTGAGTAAAGGCAATAAAGGAAAAAACATCAATTTTCATTCAGTGCCTTTTTAAAGCTCTTTTTAGAATAACATGAAGTTCCCAAATCCACTTATTTTTGTTTCATTTAATGTATTCTGAATTTTAACAGGAAAATAATGAAACCAGAAATAACAATTGGCTAAGAAGGAAGTTTACACCAGATATAGCTATGATTTTTTTACAGTGATAATCACTTTAAAATTATAGTTTTCTTGGTGACTTCAGAAGAAATTAAAATTATTGAATATGCACTTTTTCTTTTAAGAAAAAAAATCCTATTTTTAAACAGATACCCGATAAGGTGATATGGTCTGGCCGCCCTGTCCTTTCCGTCTGCAGACTTGCCAACTTTTCTGTCTCAGAGTCTTTATACCTGTTCTGCCTTTGCCTGAACACCTGTACCCCTGGCATAGCTGGTCTTTTTCCTGTCTTCAGGTCTGGCTTAAATGTTACTTCCCGTGAGAGATCTGTCCGATCTTTCCGATCAGCCCGTCTAAAGTTATTTTCTATCATATCTAACTTTGTTACGAAACCCTCCTGTATCACAGTCTGAATTTATCTGGTTTATTTGTTTATGTTCAGTGGCCCTCCCTTTCCAAGAGATCTTATTTGTCTTGTGCAGTGCTCTTTCCCCAGTGCCTGGCACACTGTACTTAGAAAATAATTGTTGAAGTTTTTTCCCCAAACAATAGTCAAATGGATTTAAGATACATTCGGAAATAGCATTAAGTGCTTTTTCCTTTTCTGTGTTTGCACACAGCAACAGTGTAATGGTGGTCTTGGCTTTTTTGCTTCTAACAATTAGTTAATATTTCATTTTTACCATTTTTAGTATAGGTTATTAGCTGTTGACTCAGTATTTATTTTTCAATTAGTTTGAAAAAAAGAAAAAGAAAAGGAAGCATTCCTACTGTTGACTTAGAAAGTAACCAAAAAGGCTTCCTTTTTTTTTTTTTAATTTTTATCATGAAAATGTTTGAACAAACAGAGCGAATAGTACAGTGAATTCTCAGATACCCACAGTCCAGATTCAACATTATCAAGACTTTGCCTCATCTTAAAATTTAAGTTATATTCCTTGTTTCATTCAGTTTTAAAAGTAAGTTTAAAAAAATTTTAGACCACTATTGTATGTATGATGAATAAGATCATTTGATTTTTGTCCATTATAGCTAGGAAACAACTGACTACAGCAGTTTCACAAGCTTTACCAAAGTCTCCTCATCTGAACCAGGATTCTCAACAGGTATATGTATTTTTTCCTATCAGTATATTCTTTTATTTTGATATAGAATGTCCTGTAATTTGTAATGAGATTATAGTAATACGGATGGTCCAACCTTTTAGAGTTCATGACCCCTCCTTGTATCTCAATAATGTTGTCATTGCATCCCTTGGCCAAAAGAAATACCTAGCAGCTCCATTTATTAAGTAGTTAGTAGCATTAAACAACTTAATAAGTATTATGTCCTAGTAACTTAGTAAGCATTTTATTTTTATTTTTTTCTAGTTTTATTGAGATGTAATTGACATATAATGTATCAGTTTAAGGTGTACAACATAATGCTTTGATATATGAATATGTTGTGAAATGATTACTATAAGCATTTTATTTTTAAATAAACACAATTACTAATGGAATGTGTGCACTCATTGGGCACTGTACAACTTCTCAAACCCTGGATTAGTTTTCTTGTTCCACATTGATTTTCGCGTAGTAATTGATTTTTATCATAGCAATTTCCGAAAACCCAGCTTCACAAAGATATGATATCATTGAAAGAAATGACGTGAGATCTGATGTTGAAACTAACTACTTTGGGCTAGTAGTTCAGTCAGTGTCCGAGAGATGCTGAGTGACACTGTATTTCCCTCAAATTTAAAACATCTTGTGGAGCCCTGTTGAGTTCATTGTGGCACCCCAAAAGTACCTCGTGGCACAATTTGGGAACTATGGTAATAATATAAAAAATAATAGTATTAACTAGGATGAATTGAAATTCTAGACTAAATCATCTAGATTAGTGTTTCTCAATGGGGATGCTATTAGCATTTTTGAAGGGACAATTCTTTATTATATGGCACTGCTCTTTCTAGCAGGCATGTTTGGAAGAAAAGAAAGTGAAATGTTTCATTTGCCCCCATTTTGTATTTTACTCTATTTTCCATGTCATCAGTCTTTTTTTCTCTTAATAATCTTGATTTTTTTCCTTCTTTTTTAAATACAGAAAAAAGTGAAGAAAAATAAAACTTACTGTACCACCCAGAGATAATTATTAACATTTCCAGCATTTTTTGGCCTGTTTTTAAAAAAATAGTAGATTGATGTGTACAAATAGTTTTATATCCTTTCCCCTTAATATCATATTGTATTTTCTCACATTATTAAAAACTCTTCTTAAATAGATCTTTTAAGGGTTACTTACCATTCTATCCTATTTATATCTTATGCTTTGGACAAACAGTTCCCTATTTTGAACATTTAGATTATTTCCAGCATTTTGCTATTATAAGTTAAAGTTTAGTAAATTGTTTTGCACATAAATCGTTTGCATTTTAAGTTATTTCCTTAGATTTGATTCCCAGAAGTGGAAGTGATAACTTGAAAGGCTAAGAAAAACTTTTTTAGGTTCTTGATATATATTGTCTAATCTAAAAATCTTTCTGGGGCTGGCCCCGTGGCGTAGCGGTTAAGTGCGTGCGCTCCGCTGCTCGCGGCCTGGGTTCGGATCCCGGGCACGCACTGACGCACTGCTTCTCTGGCCATGCTGAGGCCGCGTCCCACATACAGCAACTAGAAGGATGTGCAACTATGACATACAACTATCTACTGGGGCTTTGGGGAAAAATAAATAAAATTAAAAAAAATAAATAAATAAAAATCTGTTTTATAATATGAATAGTTATTTCACTTCATATTTACCAGTACTGTTAAGATTTTTAAAAATTCTTGCTAAGTGATAATAGTGTTTAATCAACATTTAGTTTTTATTTCTTTGATTATTATTGATGGTGTCCTTATATTTCTTATATGTCTAATAGAAATTTATATTTTCTTGTGTAACTTACTATTGCCTTTTGGTTTATCTTATATTAGTATTCTATTCCAAAGATTATAAAAGAAAATGAAGATGAACCAAGTGAACCACTTCAGTCTTTGCAGGTGAGTTAACTTTTAAAATGTAAAGTAGCCAGAAATTATATTTGTATATATATAGGTATGGCGTATAATTTTATGTTTGTATTGTCAGTTTTCAAACTCATTTATAATTAGTTACCCCTTTATACTCGTTTAGATGAGCCAGCTGTCTTTTGTATAAATGTCCTGTGTAGTCAAGAAAATTTGGTTAAATAACAAATCTTTTATCATGAAGCTAATTTTGCAAATTTGCAAGCATTGCCTAATCCAAGAATTGTCATTGACAATTACAGCTGCAGCTGAAGCTCTGTTGCCTAAAAGAGGACAAAACAAAACAAACAAAATCCATTTTGTGGTGGCTCAACCATTTTCACCCTTATATACAAGATCAAATGTATAAATTCATAAAGAATCAGCAACTGTATAATTTAGCTTACAAATGATCAAACTTTGTTTTTTTTTTTTTTTTTTGCCGAGGAGGATTTACCCTGAGCTAACATCTGTGCCAGTCTTCCTCTGTTTTGTTTGTGGGTTGCCACCACAGCATGGCCACTGACAAGTGGTGTAGGTCCATGCCTGGGAACCAAACCCGGGCTGCCGAAGTGGAGCGCGCTGAACTTAACCACTAGGCCACAGGGCTGCCCCCTCAAATGATCACATTCTTACTGGTTTTTTTTTTCACTTGAAAAAAATAGGGTTTAAACTTTTTCAAGGACAGTTATCACAAAGTATAACCTGCAAATAAACACTATCACTTTTTTTTCCTCCAGAATGAGTTGCTGTTTAAAATAAATGTCATATAATGTCAAATAAATAAAATAAACATATTTTTAAAAAATCTGTTGTAATATCACAGTAATGAAAAAGGTCTTACAATCTCTTGCAAAAAACATTATTTAGGGGCTGGCCCGGTGGCATAGCAGTTGAGTTTGCGTGTCCCGCTCCCATGGCCCAGGGTTCACCAGTTGGGATCCTGGGCACGGACCTACTCACCACTCGTCAGGACATGCTGAGGCAGCGTCCCACATAGAAGAACTAGAAGTACCTACAACTAGGATATACAACTATATACTGGGGCTTTAGGGAGAAAAAAAGAAAAAGAGAAAGATTTTCAACAGATGTTAGCTCACGGCCAATCTTCCTCAAAAAAAAAAGCCTTTAAAAAATTATTTAAATCTTTTTAGCATTAATATAGGAGAGTATTTGTATTTTGGTAATGGCTTTCTTACTACAACTCTCTAAAACAACCTCTTCATGTATGCTGATGATAGAAGGAACTTTCAAAACTTAAAGTTAGGGTGCTCTTTGAGGATACACATAATGCCACCTCCATCTTATTTCTGTAAGTATAATTAGCTACACATACCCAAGGAGCTATTCCAGCAGAGAAAGTACTATGCCAGTTGATTTTTTAAACTCACTATAATAGAAAATTCTAAATATGAGTTGAATGTTTTCAAGAACTACTTGGTTGGCGATTGTACTTGTATATAGTGTTATTACAGGAAGGTGACCATTACTTGAAGAAATACACTACTTTACCTCTTCTGTCTATTGAGGAAATTTTTTTTCTCCATATTTCTCAAGCATAAAAAATTGCTTTTAGGGACCAGCCCCAGTGGCCTAGTGGTTAAGTTCAGTACTCTCTGCTTTGGTGGGCTGAGTTCGGTTTCCAGATATGGACCTACACCGCTCTGTTAGCAGCCATGCTGTGCTGGCAGCCCACATACTAAAAAAAAATAGAGGAAGATTGGCTCAGGGCAAATCTTCCTCAGCAAAAAAAAAAAAAAAAAAAGAAAAAAAAATTACTTCTACAGTTGAATTTATTTTCTAAGTCTGTCTAATTCATCTTAGAAATTGTGGTTATTTTATATAGTTACTTGATGAGCTAAAAATGACTAGTTGCTATTGTCTATATCTTGTGTTTTGTGGTTTCTAGAAGATAATTCATTCTTTAAACTGTTGCACTGTTTATAATTTTTCCTTGTTTGATTTCATACTAATTTTTGAATTAAATAATCTGCATTAACATAAGTATTAGGTTTGATGGATGATTTATTATGTACTCAACAATTTCTTCTAGTGTTAAAAAATTCGGTTAAAATTTTAGAATTCTAATTTTCTAATATACTGAATTTTACATTGATTAGCGGAGTATCTTATCTGCTAGATCACTCTTTGCTGGGGTGGCTTCTTATATGTGTGTATAGAGAGAAGCAAATGTATCTTCAAAGGACAAACTTAGCTTTAAGTTTTGGGAGTATTTTCCAAATACTCATGAACCACCTACAAAACTATTCTAGCTAACACACTTATTGATATTATATTCTAGTTCTTTTCCTTGGGAGGTGAAGAAGAGACTGCTTTTCTGGCTGTTATTCCTAAACAAACAGAGAGGAAAACCTGTGACCCTAAGGTAAATTTTGTGAAGAACATTGATTTTCTAAGCCACTGTGTTTTCCTGCTGTTTTTTACACAACTATCAGTGTTTTCATAGGCAGAAGGTTAGTGAGCATAAAGAATTAACCTGGTTTTAAGAACAAGAGGAACTAATGACTCCTCCCTGTTTTTTTGGCGCGGGCCCTCTCTCTGTCACTAATGAACTAGTAATGCAGTGTATATGCATACATAACCTAGGGGGTGGACACGAAGATGTGTACAGTACAATCAATGAATGTTCTGTGGAGGACAAAATGAAGACCTTTAACTTTTGGTAGTCTACTGCACGCTTCTACCTCTGACTGAAGGTATAGAAGCATACATAACCCAAGCTCTTAAGTTGTCCTATCTGCTCCCCATCAAAAATTGATAGAGACAACAGCATATAAATGGTTGGGTTTTGTAAATAGTGATTCTATTCCTAAAACCTAATAGACCTCTGGAAGAGATCTACATAGAAGCATAGAAAACAAGGCATCTGTTTGTTTGTGGAGAATATGTATTCCCCATCAAACAAAGCAGAAATATACAGTCTTTAACAGTTGAGACTTTTTTTATTGAAATGTGTATGTTTTAAAATTCAGAATAATATTTTCAACAAAAGTCCTGTATAAGAGACATTTTAGATTTGATTTTCCTTTCGAATGTGTAGTTTAAAATCTTCATTTTTAAATAAGAGAATATTCAGATTTTATATTATTGTCATTTTGTTAATTTATCAGTTAGAAATGAATTCATCCTTTGTGTCCATTCCTTTAGTTATATTAGCAATCTTATTTTTCCACATTTTGGGTAGGCTTTGTCACCTTGTGTGGAGTAAAAATCCTGGAACCCTCAAGGGGGCAGCAGAGAAAGCCATTTGAAGCCTGAAAGCAGACCAAGTCTCTGAGGGGATGAAAGCACCTCTCGAGGCACACATCTGTATCGGAATCACACTCTTAGGCCTTTGTTCTCAGAGCAAGAGCATCAGGTCTTCTGGGAGGCAGAGAGCCCACCATCCCTCTTGTGTTAAACCTGATAGTTTACAAAACCCTTAAACAAAGGAAAATGCTTCCTGTGTTCCTTCCCTTTCCTCCCTTCCTATTATATGTTTATCAGTTGCCTCCTATGTGCCAACAATGGTGTTAAATGCAGGTGCTACCCTGATGGAACAAAAAGGCCTCTCCCTCAGGGGCTTTACAGTACAGTTAGTATACAGATAAGAAGGAACATCATGGTAGTATAATGTGGTACGTCTACAATGGAAAGTTGTATAATGTGCAGTGGAAACAGAGAGAAAGGAGCCACTGTGGCTTTCTGGCTTAATTAGTCCATTATTACTACACTCCTTATGCTCATAATAAAAAAATTCGTACTTATTTAGTTGAAATTGAATTCAGTTAAATCAACGCACTTTAAATTAGTTACCCTTAATGTATGTTTTAGGATAATAGGAGTATTTCCCGGTTTTCAGTAGTAGTCCCTTAGTAATTATTTACATTAAGTAATATTTAATAGAAAGCTGAATTATGTATTATTTTCTATGTATATATACATTGTGAATATATATGTGAATATATACTTACACAATATTTATTTTAATACTTTACCTATAGCCTGTTGAGTTTCAAGGGCACCAAGTGAAGGGATCAGCTACTAGTGCTGTGATGGTCAGAGGACACAGCTCACAGCTAGAATGCAGTCAGTTTCCAGATAGAATTGAATATGAAAATTGCACGACAGACCCTTGTTTTTTGACACCAAAGTTGCCTAGCACTTGTATGCAGATTGACTTCTTGCAGGTAAAAATATTTTTATAGTTGCATCCTGCCAAATCATTTTCTTTATGTCAATACTAAATTTTGTAAAAAGACTATATTTAGTACAGTTGTAAGTTAAAAAGGAATTTAGTAAATTGACAAGAAGCATAATATCTCAAATCAAACTAAATAAGGCAAAACTGTTTTATTTGAAAGATTTTCTGCCTTTTTTAGGATCAGGAATTTAAAGGATTACTTTTCGCTTCAGAGAAGACTGGGAATTTATGACAAGAGCAGATAGGTTACATATAGAAAATATGATTAACAGTTAGTAGATTGTTTTTCTTCTACTATTCCCCGCCCTAGGTATGCACCAGGTACCTCTCATTGCTACCGAATGGAGGTCATGGAGAGAGAATGATATGCATGTATTTGAAACAGTATCTGTTTTTTTTTTTTTTTTTTAAGATTTTATTTATTTATTTTTCCCCCAAAGCCCCAGTAGATAGTTGTCTGTCATAGCTGCACATCCTTCTAGTTGCTGTATGTGGGACGTGGCCTCAGCATGGCCGGAGAGGCGGTGCGTCGGTGCGCGCCCGGGATCCGAACCCGCGCTAAGCCACGGGGCCGGCCCGAAACAGTATCTGTTAAAGAGATTAAAATTTTTTTTCCTTTTTTGTTAAAGCATAATGCACGTACAAAATAAGCGCTCAGAATGTAAGTGCACAGCTCAATCTTTACCACAGAGTGATCACACCCATGTAACCTCCACCCTTAGGAAATAGAGCGTTACTGGCATCCCAAAAGTACTCCTTCTGCCTCCTTTCAATCACTACCCCTTCCATTCTCCCAGAAGTAACCACTATCTTGACTTATAACACCAAATGTTAGTTTTGCTTTTAAAACTTTGTATAAATTAAGTAATACACAGTGTATTTTTGGTGTCTGGTGTCTTTTGTTCAATATTGCAATTTTGAAATTCATCTGTGTTGTTGCCTGAGGCCGAAGTTTTTTCATTTTCATTGCTGGTGTAGCATTCCATTGTATGGGTACGCCCCAGTTTATCCATTCTTCAGTTGTTTGGGGTGTTTGCTTTCGGGGGCTATTACAGACAGTGCTGCTGTGAAGATTCAAGTACTGTCATGAACATGTGCACACATGACACGCTTCTGTTAGTTATTCTTCCTAGGAGTCACCAGATATGTCCATCTTTACTTTTAGTAGGTAATGCCAAGGTGCTTTCCAAAATGGTTGTCCTAGTTTACATTTCTATCGAGAGTGTGTGAGTCCCCATCACTCTACGTCTTCCTCAGTACGTGGTGCTGACAGTTTTTTGTTTTGAATTTTAGCTATTCTGGTGGGTATGTAGTGGTATGTCAGTGGTATTTCATTGTGATTTTAATTTGCATTTTCCTGCCTAACAGTGAAGTTGGGACCTTTTTCGTATGCTTCTTGGCCTTTCCTGTATCCTCTTTGAGGAAGTGTTTGTTCGGGGTTCTTTCTCAGCTTTTACTTGATGTGCTTGTCTTTTTTATTAATTTTTGGAGTTCTTCATGTATTTTGGATATATACTCATTGTCACTTGTATACTTTGCAAATATCTTCCCCAACTCTGACTTATCTCTCACTCTTAATGATGCCTCTTGATGAATGGAAGTTTATAATTTTGAATACAATTTATCTGTTGTTTCCTTTATGATTAGTGCTTTTTTGTCTTAAGAAGTCTTTCTTTACGCTAAGGTCATGAAGATATTCTCTCATATTATCTCAAATAGTAAAGTAGGAGCTTTACTATTTTACCTTTCACATTTTGATCTGCAATTCACTTGTAATTGATTTTCGTGTATTGAGATAGGAGTGAAGGTTCATATTTTCCATACGGACATCCAGTTGACCCAGCACCATTTATTGAAAAGGCTCTCTTTTCTCCATTTCTTTTTATTGCCCAGTTTGCCATAAATCACATGTCCGTATATTTGAGGTCTGTTTTTGGTTTCTATTCTGATTCATTGGTCTGTAGTTTTAGAAGTCTTATATCTTATAAAATATGCATTTCATGTATCTTTAAATCCTCCCACCTTGTTCCTAGCTTTTTGCATTTCCATATACACTTAGATTTAGCTTAACAATTTCCATACATACATATAACCATGGTGGGGATTTGATTGGAATTTCATTGTCTGTATGTGGGGAGAATTGACATTTTTACAATATTATTGATATATTTTCAATATAGTGATAATATATCCCTCTATTTCAAACTCCTTTACCTTCTCCCAGTAATGTTTTATAGTTTTGATATAGATGTTCTCTATATATTATTTGTATATTTGATTTGTGGGACTTCTTTCTAATTAATTTCTAATTAAAAAAATTAACTGTTATTTTTCCTAATTTATTAATGTTTTGACTTTGTTTATGATTTTTTCCAGAAATAAAATTTTAATATTTATGTAATCAGATCTATTAGTGTTTTCTTTTATGGTTTCTGGTGCCCAGAATTCTTAAGTCTTAATTTAGTGCTTTTTATTAATAAATTTTGATGCTTTCATTAATTGTTATCATGGTTGTATACTATCTTTAGCAAGAGCTAATGATTACAGTGGCTGTGTTAAGTAAAATAAGTTATATCTGAATTCCTTCTTAATGTTCTCCCAGACTCCTATTATAGCTATATCATAATTTTTAGGTAGATATTCAGCATTTTCATTATTATAAATGTTTTAATATTTTCACTACTGAGCCAATTAGTATACTTTAGTTACATTTTCTTTCTTTTATAATTTTTGGGTTTTTTCTTGGTTTATAATTGTCCCAGTTTTTAAAATTTGCTTAGTGTTCTTTGAATATTGGGGTAAAGATTTCCTACATCCTCTAAAAGCTTTATAAAATACTCTTCAATAAAGGAATTCACACAAACTTATCAGATGATCTTTCTTAGTTCCATATTTTTCCTAGGCCCTCTTTCCTAGGTCCTCCATCTGTCTGCTCCAATCTGACCATATAGTTCACATCCTGCCATGCCTTTGCCTCTCTCCTAGCTTGGGTTGCCTGTATCTTGAACGCCATGTCTTTTTTTCTTTTTTGCTGGAGTACATCTTGAGTACCTCCTAAGAAAGAGGGCATGGGAGATAAAATTTGGGGGACTTTGCATGTTGAGATGTTTTTATTCTGTTCTCATGCTTGATGATAGTTTGGCTAAGTATAGAATTTGGATATGATCTGCTTTTTTTTTCTTTTTAAATTTAACAGTGCTTTCTCCTTCTAGAAGTTTTTAGCATCTCTTCTTTATTCCTGGTGTTCTGAAATTTCACGGTGATGTTTCTTCCTTCCTTCAGGTTTTATTAATACTGTGTACTGGGTACTCAGTGAGTCTTTTCATCTTGCAGATACAAGGCCACCAGTCCTATAAAGATGTTTTTTAAATCGTTTCTTTGGTAATTTCCTCCCCACTGTTTTCTTAGTTTTTCTCTTTCTAGAACTTTTATCAAATGTTTTTGGCTCATTGTATCCCTTTTTCAGCAGCTCTTTTGGACTCCAGTTCCTAAGCATTTCCATGGTTATTGGGGTCAATTGTTTTACCTCTTATTGGGCTTACTTCAGTTTGGCTTTCTTCCATATTGCCAAGTCTGTGCTCTTTCCCCATCCTCTTAATATTTTTTTTTTTGTGAGGAAGATCAGCCCTGAGCTAACGTCCAATGCCAATCCTCCTCTTTTTGCTGAGGAAGATAGGCCCTGGGCTAACATCCGTGCCCATCTTCCTCTACTTTATATGGGACGCCACCACAGCATGGCCTGACAAGCGGTGCCTCGGTGCGCGCCTGTGAACCCCGGGCTGCTGCAGTGGAGCGTGCGCATGTAACCGCTACGCCACCAGGCTGGCCCCCCATCCTCTTAATATTGTATCGTTATTCAGAGTTACCATTGTTTCTTAGTTTCATCAAAGATAAAAGATGTTTCTGTTTCTCGTTTCCTATGTTTTTTGAGAGGAAAATAAATTCTCTGTATTGAAAAAGAAACTTATGTCCATTTGTTTTATTTCTAATTATTTTCACATACATCAGTATGGTCGTGTTTTATATCCTGAGTGTATAAAAAAATATTCTGGGGCAAAATGACTAGACCCACCACGGAGATAAGAGCTTTTTGGAACAAGTATGACAGATTGCTTGCACTGAGCAGTCTCTGAACTTTAAAAAATGTTCTATATTTCATCAAATTCTAAGATACTGTCACTGATTGTAAGAAGCACCATTATATTATATACCAAGAAAGAAGAGCAGTCAATTAACATTACACAATGCTTTATCACTTAGACTTTTTTATTTAATAAAATTTTCTTTTATCGTGGTAAAAAACACATCATAAAATTTACAATTTTATTTATATCTTAACCATTTCATGTGTACAGTTCAGTAATGTGAAGTATATTTACAGTGTTATGAGGCAGATCTCCAGAGCTTTTTCACCTTCACTTAGATTTTTAATGTTATGTTTATTTTGAAAGAAATCTTTTAGATTTATTTGGGCATAGGTTTTTATTGTATATCACACAGCTTTGTTTTCTTGCCTTTCTGTGAACACAATACTTTTTGTCCAGTGCTAAGTCATAGTGTAATCTTTTTGAAGACATTTAAACAGCAAAATTATTTAACATAGCTAATATTAAAGCACAAACTCATATTTAAGTCATCGTTATATGAACAGCGTGACTAATTTGCATGTAATTGCACATAAGCAGGCAATGACAACTGTGTCACAACTGTTGTCTGTGGTAGAGAGATGTAAAAATGCCATCCCTTTTAAGGTGCATCCCTATTTCAAAGATGTTAAAATGTAGGCAATGTGAGTCGTAAGAATTGATGAAATATTATGTACTCTGCTTTCCCTGAATGGAATTGGCTTCATAACATGTAGCTTTCTATTTTTCTGTCTCAAGTTATAACCATAAACTGTGTGTGCATATATATATAGAGAGAGAAAGATAATAAAAGATATAAAGATATAGATATGTACACACACACTTCTTTTTTACTAAATAAACTGATAAATGGATCTCTGTTTCCTAGTTCCCAGATGAAGAAAACTTTCCAAAAGAAGGTACTAACTTTAATATTGAAGACAATTTTCAGGTGATAGCTGAGTCTAATAAGGACTCATTTGAAAATGAACGTAAGTAAATTGTGAGTAAAATATAACATTAAAAAGTTATTTGACATTGAACAAACTGTTATGTAAGATCCATCCTTTTTTTCCCCACAGCAATTTTAGATTTCCCTCCTAAAGATTCAGAACATTCATATCATTATCTGGATTATAGTTTTAAATCAGCAGAGAGGACTTCATGGGAAGCAAATAAGGTATAATGTAAACAAAGTTTTAATAGTTGGCAGTAAAAAATTTTGGTAGTCTTATAAGAAATGAATCTTAAAATCTGAAAAGATAAAAATCTTAAGACTGGATGATTTTTTTAAACATGACGAAGAAAGTTTATCAACAACCACCGTTATTTTAGTGATGAAACGGCAGAGTAATTTCTGTTAGAACACAAATAAATATAAAGTCCTTCAGAGGGTTGTAAGTGCTATGTTGAACTTGAAGCTGTGTAAGGGAGATAGGGAGGGCAGATGGGGGTAGAGTTCTGTTTTGTCCGTATAGATGAAGTAAGTAAGGCCTTTCTGATAACGTGACGTTGGAGTAGAGATCTGAATGAAGAGAGAGATCCGTGCAGCTATCTGGAGGAAGAGCATTCCAGGCCCAGGGAATAGCAAGTGCAAAGGTTTTGAGGTGGAAGAATGCTGGCCAATTTGTAGAACAGCCAAGAGGTTGCCATTGAGTGAGTGAATGAGTGAAGGGAGGGGAAGGAAGTGAGATTGGAGAGGAGGTGAGGGGCCTGATCTTGCAGGGCAGCTGCCTAGGACGTTGTAAGAGCCTCCTTGTATGTTAAGAGATACTGGGAACCATTGGAGTTGTAATGAGAGGAGTAATAATGATTGAACTTACGTTTGGAAAGAACTCTGGCAGGTTTGTAGAGACTGTACTATGAGGACAGGGTATAACACTCAGTATTGCCTATTGTTATTTTTATTGAAGGGGCAATGCAATCTAGACTGCCTAGGTTTGAATCTCAACTCTGCTGCTTATAAGCTGGATGAATTTAAGCGAATTTAATTGCTTAACTGCTCTATTTCTCAGTTCCCTCAGTTGTAAAATAAGGAAAATGAGAGTACCCACCTCATATGGTTGTGGTAAGGATCAAATAAGTTAAAAATATAAAGTGCTTGGAACAGTCCCGGACGCATAATAAGACCTCGATAATAGAGTAAAACTATTATGGTGATGATTGAATTGTAATTTCCCATTTGTTTGTCTGTTTCTTCTACTAGACTGAACCCCTTGAGTGCAGGGGCCATGAGTATTCATCTTCTCCTCCTTAGCTCCTAGCACAGTATCTGGAATCAAGTGGCTAATCAAGAAAATGCTTTAAAATTTATATATAAACTTTTATCTTCGTTGTGATTCACTCAAAAAAGAAATACACACACAAACACATCTTAACAAGTTCAAACCAATCAGAAGTGTATAAAGTTACAAGTAAAAGCACCCTTTCCCCCTAATTCTACCCCCATTAGAAACCACTGGTAATAGTTTGGTGTGTATTCTTCCAAACTTTTATTCTTTTATTCTGTTCTCATACAAATATGTGTATTAAATGTGATCATCATATTAGATTTTTAAGGTGATTAATTTCTGGAAGCAGCAGCAGAATTAACTACTGTTCTAAGGAGAATAGCATGGTGAATAATATGACAGTTCAGGTCTGGAGTATATCAAAAAAGTTCACTCCATTTGGGAGCAATATCTTGAAGTTTAGATCAAACCCTAGACCTGAGCACATAAGAGAAAGCTGTTCAGTCCTTGGGTCTGCAGGAATTTTACCCTCACAGCTTCTAAGCATGAGAGATCTGATTTAGCCTGAGCCTCTTAGACTGGGAATTGATCTTCAGAACCAAATCCCCATAATCCAGATCAATCCAGATCAGAATCTGGCCCATTTCGAATAAATCTAACCGGTTTTATGTTCTACATTTCACTTTTTATTATTCTTGTTGATTTTAATGAGTTTATTCTATCCTGTCCCTTTGGGAAGAATCTTTGCCCCGCTATAGCTCTATGTAATGTGCTCGAAAGCGTTATTTTTACAATGTAGATTACTAGAATTCATTCAAATTGTAGGGAGAAAATGCAATAAGAAGGTTTTGGTTTGTAGCTTTGTTTCTTCTTTCTGGATAGGTGACGTCACCAGAACAGAAGATCTCAACATTGAGCCCTGTTTCTACTTTTTCTTTGAACTCAAGAGATGAAGACTTCAAGCTAGAATTCTCTGAGGAGTCCCTGAAAGCAAGAACTTTACCTGGTGATCTTCACTTTCTCAACGTAGACAATTGTTACCATATTGCTCTAATATCTATCTGTCCGTGTAAAATGAAGTTTTTTATTTGAGAGATTTTTTACTAACTAAAAATATCTTGGAACGAGATTCAGTGTCAAACCCCCTGAAGCCTTCCCACACCCTTTCTTCCTTTTGACTTTTTCTATTACAGATGGCTCTTACTTCCAAATACAATATTCCCTCCTAGCTCTCTAGTTCCTTCTCGTTTCTCCTCTCAACTTCTCATCACAGACCACTGAAAGTGTCTTCTACCATTGCACACTTCTCACAGCTGTAGCTCCAGAGCCTGGCCGCTCGGTAGCCCCCTCCCTCCCAAGGGGATGATTCATGTGAATGTCTGATTGACACCATTGGTCGACCTTAGCATAGCCTCCTAGTTTCCCCTTTTTTGCTTTGGGATCCTGGCAATATCAGGGACCCTTCAACTGCTGCTGCTGTGATTGTGTTCTCAGGCCTCTGTGTTTGCATAAATTTTGTCTCTTCCCTCTGAGTAATTTCCTGCTTCTTGATAAGTATAGTACATTCTGTAGGATCCCTTCCACTAACTTTTCTTTTCTTCTCTTTTGTAATCTTATTAGTGTATCTTCCTCTGATTCTGAAGTTATGTTGGGTGAGGGGTGAAATTGTAGGGAATTTTTTTGGTCGTAGGTGGATGACATAAAAAAAGAAGGACGTTGAGGGGCCGGCCCGGTGGCGTAGCAGTTAAGTGCTCACGCTCTGCTGTTGGTGGCCCAGGTTCGGATCCCGGGTGCACACCGACACACCGCTTGGCAAGCCATGCTGTAGCCGCGTCCCATATAAAGTAGAGGAAGATGGGCACAATGTTAGCCCAGAGCCAGTCTTCCTCAGCAAAAAGAGGAGGATTGGCAGATGTTAGCTGAGGGCTGATCTTCCTCACACAAAAAAAAGAACTTTGTAATGTGAATGGGTAGTTGGGTTGGAGAAGATTTAATGGGTGTGGTTGTAGAGGAAACAAGGTAGGGAGCAGACAGTATAGAAGGAGTGGGTATCTACCGCAAGTGAAGTGATAGTGGAATAATAGATGATTTTCATAGTTACACTGTGAATCTTTTACTCTTTAATGAGATTTTAACGTTTCTGTCAGTGTTACTTGATCGACTTGTTAAAATTACGACCTAACGCTTTATAAAAGAATACCATTGGCTCACCTACTGCTCTGCTGCCTTCCCCAGTGATCTCCAGAGTTTATTTCCAAGAAAATAGAAACTCTGTCAAGAAGGTACCTTGTTATAAAATAGGAAACCACAGCATTGTCAGATAAAAATTTTAAGCTTATGTAGTTGCCATGCAATATGATTCATTCATTTATTTATTCAAAAAATATTATTGCTTTTTACATTTTTAGGACTATATCTGTTACTAATGCTGCTGACAGAGAAAAGGAATTATAAAACTCAGCCCAAATCTGCCATAATCTGAGTTTACCAGAATTGAACTCTTATCACATACCAATAGATCAAAATAAAGCTAAAAATCTTTTTTACCCTGAAGGTCAACATATTAATTCATGAGTGTAAGAAATATATAGAGGAAGTTACAATCACATAGTCGGATAAATGAACCATGAACTTCATTCATTGTCTGGGGAGAGAATATAAAGTTGAGAACAAAAAATTAGTTCTGAGTTCTCGTCCCGACTCTGCTATCTGGTAGTCATGTTACCGCTAGGCCTCATTAAGTTCATCTGTAAAATGAGAATGATGAATCCCTTCTTGGCTGTAAAGTAGTTTGAAGACTTAAGTGCTATGTAAATATAATGTAGTAATTGTCGGGGGAAAAATCCTTAGCTAAGGGGAAAAGAAAAAGAAGGATTTCAAATTCATCAACCTTAAAAAATTTTCAGAGTGTATTAATTAGGCTTTGTAATCTTTATTTTGTTGAGACTAAAACGAGTAAGTTTTTGTTTATTTTAAAAAAAGAAATAAGATTATATGTTTTTTTGGCAAGGCAAGTTGGTACTTTTTGCTTTTTTGTATAGATACCCACTGTTTTCTAAAGCCTGGGTGATGATCGTAATATATTTTTATTTAATCAGCTTTTTTTTTTTCCAGTAATGAGAAAATCCAGTTCTCTGGAGAATAAGCACCTTCAGAGGCTTCCGCTCGTAAGTAGAACCCGAGTTCCACTTATTACTTTGCCACCTGCTGATGGGCCACCTGACTTAGGTTCTTGTTCATATGGGATCAATTGTAACAGGCAAGAGTCTTCTGGTTCCCCCATATTCAACTTGTGTGAAGCGTCAGCGGTTCTTTCTTGTAGCTTTGGGCCTGAGGACCACAGTGAAACTTGTTTCTCTAAAGAATCTAGGGAAGTGACTCCAGGGGATGTTTCACTTCTTGATGATCTATCTGCTCAAAGCAAGTGGCTGAAATATCAGAACATACCCCAGTGCAACCTGACTGCTCCAGGCAGAGTTGATAAGACAGTGACAGATGGCTTCTTTGCTGTGCGTGTTTCCGGGATGCACTTCAGTGACAGAGGTGAAGGACAGGGTGATGCTGTGAGTGAGAGCTCTGTAGACCCTGTGCATTTGCAAATGATAAAAGGCATGCTTCATCAGCAGCAGCAGGGTTTTAGCAATCAGGATTTGGTTTCCAGAAAGAAAGCACTTTCTTTGAATTTAAAGCAGATTTCCAAGACTGAGGAGATTCATAATGTGTTAGGAAAGTCTGCCTGCTCCAACTGCAGTGTAACAAGAGATCTACAGGTGAGGAAATGTACCAACGTCTCGGTGCATCGTTTTCTAATACTTATTGTCTGAATTTCAACAAAAAAATTATCAAAATCATATGGGAGCAATGCTTTTACTCTGGGAGCCAATGGCTTTTTTTGGTTTTTAAGACTTTTCCAGAACTTTAGCTACAGTCACATCTTCTCTAACTTAAAATCTTTCCTGGTAGTTGTGAGCATTAAATGAAATTATGTGTTTGAGTGAAAGTGTCTGGTGCAGTCTCTGACACTTAGTAGATATTTCATACTTATAGCTCCACCTGTGTCCACCCATCCCTGCCACTGCTACTGTTACTGTGATTGTTTTCCTTCTTCACTGTCGGCTCAGTTTTGCTGATCAGATCATTACTAGGATAAAGGTACATCTTATTACATACTGATTCTGAATAATTTCTATTATAGTTGTAACCAGAAATAGAGATCCATGATGATCATTCACATCAGTTAAGTTTTTCCTAGCAAAAAGTATTTAGAAACTTATTGAGGGGCAGACAAGAAAAGTTAGTCTTATTTATGATTAAAAGTGCCATGCATAGTCATTCTTGCTATGCTTAGTTTCTCATTTAAAATTAGAAAATGAGGGCCGGCTCCGTGGCTTAGCGGTTAAGTGTGCGCGCTCTGATGCTGGCGGCCCGGGTTCGGGTCCCGGGAGCGCCCCGAGGCACCACTTCTCCGTCCAACGTGAGGCCGAGTCCCACGTACAGCAACTAGAAGGATGTGAACCTATGACATACAACTATCTACTGGGGCTTTGGGGGGAAAAAACTGAATAAATAAAATCTTTAAAAAAAAAAAAAAAATAAAATAAAATAAAATTAGAAAATGATTTTCAAGCACTCTGGAAATCCAAAGAAAAATTTGTTAAGCATATGTATAGAAATTTCTTAAGCATATGTATAGAAAATAATTTACTCATTAGTGACCAGTATTTTTCTGGAGTTGTTATAATAACTTGAATTATTCCATTTCAGGAAATAAATGGCTCTGAGCTATGCTTCCCAAGTGGGCAGAAAATAAAATCTGTTTATCTTCCCCAACGGCAAATTCACATACCAGCTGTTTTTCAGTCACCTGCTCATTATAAGCAGATTTTTACATCTTGTCTCATAGGTATGACTGTTATCTTTTTATTCTATTATGATTGATTGCTAATGTAAGTAGTATAGCTGTGAGACAGTGTAATATGTTATATTGTGAATTTTCATATTGAGTGCTCTACTTGAGACTTGTTATTTTCCATATGGTTACTGCAGTTTTTGACAGTAACATACATTCCAATTTCAGATCAAAATTGAGCTTTAAAAGTGGGAAATGACAGTATTATTCATTTCAAATTAATAGTTTTTAATTTTTTTTAAACTGGAAGTGTTACAAATGGTTTTGTTAAATTAAGTAGGAAATTTTAAGCATGATACGTGATTAGTTTTGATAGGTTGTTTTGTTGTGCAAGGGCAAAACTTGCCTTTAAAAAATACACGTTTTTTAAATTAGTATTATATATTATATATATACAGTTAGTATATATAATTAGTAACCTAATTAGTATTAAGTTACGGTTTACTCTGTTAAAAGGCTATTTTCAAATTTAGCTAACAAACAGCACATATGTGATACGAACACAAAATTATTTTGTATTTAATTTTCATCTCTATCTATCTTTTTTTTGGTAGAACATCTAAATATACTGCTCTTTGGGTTGGCACAGAGGTTGCACAAAGCTCTTTCAAAAGTTGACATAACATTTTACACATCATCAAAAGGAGAGAAACCGAAAAATGTAGAAAATAATGTGCCATCCTGTCATCATCATCAACCTGCAAAACTTGTCATGGTTAAAAAGGAAGGTCCAAATAAGGTATTGTTCCCTCTTTCCCTCCCGTTGCCCCACCAAATACTTGTCTTATGAAAAGTTTAGGTACTCACTGCTTTATGCCAAGCTTAGTTAAAGAGTAGGTCTTGATTAGGGGCCTTCTACTTGAGGAATTAGTAACTGACATATAGTAAACTCTCAATAAGTTTTTATTGAAAGATGATCTGTGTTCCAAGATACAAAAATATGAGTTCAGATCAACCTTCAAGTTGCTTAGGAACTTATTGCGTAGTAGTGGATGGAGAGAGATACATAAAAGGAAATTTTATATAATACTGTAATTGATAAAGTAGGAGGGATATTCCCAAGTCACAGTGAGAGCACTGAGAAGGGATTATGTCCCAGCCTGAGGCCTTAGAGAATGCAGAGATGAGCCTGAAGGAAGTGAAGGTTGAAAGTAGTCAACTATGTGATCCCCAGTACGAGTAACAGATAAAGCCAAGGGAATAGAAAAGCCTACTGATTTAATTTGTATCGCTAATAACATTATTATGGAAGAAGTCAAGTTAGTAAAATGTATTTGATTGATGGTTTGTACTCATTTGTAGGACTGTACTTTCATTCATAATAATACAGTTTTCTTCCATTGTTTGCAATATTCTACTTCATCATTAGTGGAGTATGTAAGCTTGGATTTAAATTTAATTGTCAAAAGCAAGAATTCATAAATAATATAACCATAGAATAAAATATTATAGAGCCACTAAGTATTTTTTTCTTTTTAAGATTATTTGATGACATGGTTGTCATGCTCATAATATGTTGTTGGGTATAAGGGTTAGGTTATAGAGTAGAAAATGTATTGTTATCTGAGTTTTTTCTAAAAAAGAAGCTACACGCTTGTGTATCCTCGTGTGTGTGCTCACGCGCACTTACGTGAATGAGAAAAAAAGCTGGAAAGAAATGCAAAAGATATCCTTGTAGTTGTTTCTGGGTAGCTTTCAGGTTGTCTGTAGTGAACATTTTAAATCAGAAAAACAGTAATTTTTATTTTTCAAATAAGTTTATATTCTCAGAATAATATTTTTTGATAAAGAGAAAGTACATGGACAAGTAGGTGGTTTTAAATTTTAATTTATTGTTTAAATTAATAAAAAGTTTATGTTGTATGGTGACTAATTTATTGGAGTACATTAATGCCAAGCAGCCTTAGTCTTGACATACATAATATAAAAACAGTAAAAAATAAAAACATTCTTTTTCTCACTAAAGTTGAATATCTTTTTCCCTTTAGGGTCGTCTCTTTTATACCTGTGATGGACCCAAAGCTGACCGATGTAAATTTTTCAAGTGGCTTGAGGAAGTAACCCCAGGATATTTAACACAGGAAGAATCTCTACCTAGCATGGTTTTAAGTGATATAAAGAGTATTGGCTTGTACTTAAGAAGTCAAAAGATACCCCTCTATGAGGAATGCCAGCTTTTGGTGAGGTATGTTTTATGGTACCAAATAATTGCCTCTAATTATATCAGAAAATAATAACCTCGCAGAATTATCATCAATTTTAAAAGAGACTGAGATAGGAAAAGTATCTCAAAGATAGAGTACCTCTGTTTTTATAACTCTAAAATGGGAATAATTCCCTAGAGCTGTTTTTGGCTCCCTCTAAACATCAAGCAGTATCAGCAATGTCAGGGTAACTGGCAAGAATGCTGTTTTTGTAACCATTTTTATATATAGTCACAATCCTGAGTGAAACCCTATCGAACAAACCATAAGAATAGTTTTTATCAATGCAGGATAATAGGTAGTGGTCCTTTACAAGCCTGAACTATGTAGTTTATAGGATAATAGAATGCTACTTTTTAGAAATATGTTTTAAAAAGTGGGATTACCCAAAAAGTAAATATAATGAGCGTTTGCATGGTAATTTAATAACAACAACATTTATTGGGAGCTTATATATGCCAGGTACTCTTCTAAGCACTTTGCATGTATTTTTTCATTTAATCATCATTATAACCTATAAGATGTGGAAATAATGAGGATAATTTATTATTCCCATTTTACAATTATAGGAACTGAGGTACGCTATCTTTTAGATACTTTCTTGTCTCTATCTCTTTTAAAACTAATGATAATTCTGTAAGGGTTGCTGTTTTCTTCCTTTGACACAGTATATTTTTATTTTGTATACATGTATGAAAGTATATAAACATACACACATCCTGGTTTTTTTCTTTTCATACTGTATTTTAAAATTTTTTAAAAAAAATTTATACCTTCAAACTTCCAGTTATAAAATAAATAAGTCATAGGGATGTAATGTACTGGATGGTGACTATAGTTAATAATACTGTATTGTATATTGAAAGTTGCTGAGAGAGTAGATCTTAAAAGTTCTTATCACAAGAAAAAAAATTTGTAACTATGTGTGGTAATGGATGTTAGTTAACTAGACTTATTGTGGTGATCACTTCGCAATATATACATATATTGAATCATTTTGTACACCTGAAACTAATGTTATATGTCAATTATATCTCAATAAAAAACTTGTATCTTAATATTCAAATTTATTTTTGTTTTTTACTCATTTTGCAGAAAAGGATTTGATTTTCAAAGAAAACGGTATGGCAAACTAAAGAAGTTTACTACTGTAAATCCTGAATTTTGTAATGAACCTAAAAGCAAGCTCTATCTTAAGCTCAGTCGGAAGGAAAGTTCTTCAACTTATAGCAAAGGTAGGTTGATCTGATCATGTTGGTGGCTGAGTCTAGCCTTGTATCTCAGTTACGTGCAGCTCTGTAAATTCTTTATATTGAAGATATTTTTTAAAGTATGTTTTAATAGTATATATTATTGTGAATAATAATTCACAATAATTAATATAATACAATTATTATAGTCTAATAAATTAGACTATTTCTAAAAAGCACATTTTAAAATTTTAGCTTTTTAAAAAACTTTATTAAAGGCTACCAAAAACTTTAATTTTATTTAAAAAAGTCACACTAAGTTCTTGGCATCATATGAATAAGTATATTGATTCAACTGTACTTTGACCTAATATCAAAAATAAACTGAGAGCCAGCCCTGATGACCTTGGTGCTTAAAGTTCACTGCGCTCCGCTTCGGCAGCCTGGGTTCAGTTCCCAGTCTCGGAACCACACCACCCCTCTGTCAGTAGCCATGCTGTGGCGGTGGCTCACATAGAAGGACTAGAAGGACTTACAACTAGAATATACAACTATGTACTGGTGCTTTGGGAAGGAAAAAAAAAAAAAGAGAGAGGAAGATTGGCAACAGATGTTAGCTCAGAGTGAATCTTTCCCAGCAGAAAAAAAAAGAGAGAACAAAAAATAAACTCAAAATGTAATGAGTTTATCGATACTTTTATCATTGTCTGCACAATTTGACAACACTGGACCCCAAATTTTGTAAATTTGGAAGTAAAATCCTTAAAAAATTGTTTTTCTAAGGACCTTAGGTGCACTAAATTGGATTAATCGTTATCTTTGGTTTCATGACCTACTCTTGTCATTGGTCCTCACCTAGTTTGCTTTAGTTATTTAATTAGTTATTTTAAATAATATAAATGTGAATCCACAAACCAAAGCAAAATCTAGTAGCTTTATAGCTACCTGCATTTAATATAAAGTAACTCCACTAACTCATCTGGTGGTCTCGCCTAATCTAAAGTAATTATCATTTTGATCCCTGTGTTCATCAACATCTTGCTTTCCTTTGTATATAGGTTTATATAAATGAATTTCTAAAGAGCATATTTTAAATTTTAATTTTTTAGTTGTTTTTAAGACATTATTAAAATGATATAATTCTATATGTAATCTTTTTGAATTTATCTTTTTCACTTAATAGTATTTTGCTGCAATGTATACATATTATTGATGTTGATCTAAAATCTAGATTCTAGATTACTTGTTTTGACTGCTAACATTTTATTTTGTGAATATGCCACAGTTCATTCATTCACTCTTCCATTGATGGTCATTTTGGTTTCCACGTTGTGCCATTGGCAACAGTGCACTCTGAATAATCTTGTACTCTCTTGTAGATGTGTGCGAGTTTCCTTTGGGTATAATCCTAGGAATAAAAATGCTGTATGTTACAGGCTCTGAAAATGCCCCACATGCCTTCATGCTGTAGTGCCAAACTGATTTCTAAAGTGTATCTCATCAGTGTATACTCCTACTATCCTGTGGCCCCACCTACTCAAATGGGTGTAAAAGGATCTCATTGTGGTTTTAGTGTGCATTTCTCTGCTCACCAATGATGTTGAACAGCTCTTCATGTGTTTATTGGCTCTATATGTTTCTTCTTAGCCGTTTTACTATTGTGTTGTTTGTAATCTTATTTATAGTTCTTATATATTTTTCTTGGTTTTTTTTTTTTTTTTTTCCTGTGAGGAAGATCAGCCCTGAGCTAACATCCGATGCCGATCCTTCTCTTTTTTTGCTTAGGAAGATTGGCCCTGAGCTAACATCTGTGCCCATCTTCCTCCACTTTATATGGGACACTGCCACAGCATGGCTTGACAAGCGGTGCGTCGGTGCGCGCCTAGAATCCGAACCGGCGAGCCCCAGGCTGCCGCGGCAGAGCACACGCACTTAACTGCTTGTGCCACTGGGCCGGCCCTACATTATTTTTTCAATAATTATAAAAATAACTTTAATAATGTAAAACTGATGGAATTAAAAACGTAGAAATGAAATGTTATGTGTTATGTATTCAGGTCTTAGTTTGGATGGAATCTTATAGATGATGATAACCAATTTTGGTTTTTGAGAAATAGCGTAGGACTAAGTATCTAAGAAATCCAAAGCAGCTTTGGATTGAGTGTAGTTCTGAGTCCTTTAAAAAATGTTTGTCTTTTCAGATGATCTTTGGGTCGTTTCAAAAACCCTAGACTTTGAACTGGATACTTTTATTGCATGTAGTGCTTTCTTTGGACCATCATCTTTCAATGAGGTGGAGCTACTACCTTTGAAAGGTTATTTCCCCTCTAATTGGCCCACTAACAGTAAGTATTACCATGCCCATATGAATTTGTATTAAAAAAGAATGATAGACATGAGGTGCGCTGTGAGCGAGAATGCTAACTTTGTGTGGGACTGTTTGATTAAAGTCATCAAAAAGCATCCACCTC